ACTTACACCATACACAAAAATAAACTCAAAACTCAAAATGGATAAAGGACTTAAACGTAAGACGGGAAACCATAAAAATATTAGAGGAATCCACAGGTAGCAAAATCTCAGATATATGCCGAAGGAATTTCTTCACTGACACAGCTCCTAGGGCAATGGAAACTAAGGAGAAAATAAATGGGACTACATCAAAGTAAAAAGCTTCTGCACAGCAAAAGAAACCATCAACAAAACAACTATAAAAGCCCACTGCATGGGAGAACATATTTGCCAATGTTACATCTAACAATGATTTAATTTCCAAAATTCATAGGGAACTCGTACAGCTTAACAAAAGGAAGATAAGCAATCTAATTAAAAAAAATGGGCAAAGGAGCTAAATAGAGGACATACAGAAGGCCAAGAGACATATGAAAAAGAGGACATACAGAAGGCCAAGAGACATATGAAAACATGCTCAACATCACTAATCACCTGAGAGATGCAAATCAAAACAACAATGAGGTACCAACTGACACTGTCAGAATGGCTATCATCAACAAATCAACAAATGACAAGTGCTGGTGAGGATTTGGAGAAAAAGGAATCCTCTTGCACTGCTTGTGGGAATGCAGACTGTTGCAGCCACTGTGGAACAAAGTATGGCGTTTCCTCAAAAAATTAAAAATGGAACTGCCATTTGACCCAGTAATCCCACTTCTAGGAATATATCTCAAGAAAACAGAAACACCAATCAGAAGGGATATATGCACCCCTATGTTCATAGCAGCACAATTCACCATAGGTAAGATTTGTAAACAGCCCAAGTGCCCATCAGCAGATGAATGGAATAAAAAACTGGTACAGTCTTAGCTGGTTTTGCTCAGTGGATAGAGCATCGGCCAACAGTCTGGAGGGTCCCTGATTCAATTCCAGTCAAGGGCACATGCTGGAGTTGTGGGCTCGTTCCCCACTAGAGGACATGCAGGAGGCAGCCCATCAATGATTCTCTCATCATTGATGTTTCTGTCTCTAGCTCCCTCTCCCTTCCTCTATGAAATCAATAAAAATATTTTTAAAAATTTAAAAAAAGAAAAAACTATGGTACATCTACACAATGGAATAACGCTACTATAAAAAAGAAAGAACTCTTACCATTCGCAATAGCATTGATGTACCTGGAGAACATTATGGTAAGTGAAATAAGTCAGTCAAAGAAAGATAAATATCACATGATCTCACTCATTTGTGAAATATAATGAACAACATAAGCTGATGAACAAAAATAGATCCAGAGACAGAGAAGCATAGAACAGACCATCAAACATCAGAGGGAAAGAAGTGGTGGGTAGTGATGATGTTATAGGCCGGTAAGAGATCAACCAAAGAACTTGTTGGCATGCATATAAGTATATCCAATGAACACAGACACTAGGGAGGTGAGGGCATATGCTGGAGGTGGGAGTGGCTTTGGAGAGGTCAATTGGGGGAAAAGGGAACATATGTAATACTATATGTAATACTTTAAACATTAAAGAATTTAAAAAATGCATGTGTTCCCATGATACTTAATTTACAGAAACAGCACACAGATTTGGCCCATGGATCATAGTTTTTGAATCTTTGATCATTGAGCAGGCACTGTTCTAAACTGGGGATGCTATACCAAGCAATACAGTCAAGGAATCTGTTTCATGGAGCTTAGAAAACCTTGTTTATGAAAGTGAAGCTTAGGCTTCCAGTCAAGATGGTAGCGTAGGTAAATGAGGTACTAGAATCTTCCCACAACCGCATAAAAAACAAATACAACTAATCTTCAGAACAACCATCATTCAGAACCTTACATCTCTCTGAATGAAAGTCCTACAACTAGGAAATTGAAGAAGCCACATCAAGACTGATAGGAGGGGTGGAGGCATGGGACAGGCTGGTCCCACACCCATGAATGATAGTTTTTGATTGGGAGTGATACCTTGGCTGCAGATGTCCCCTCTGAGAAATGAAGGGATCCCAGGCTCACAACAGGCCCTCCAGCCAAGGGTTCCAGTGCTGGGAAGAGAAGTCCCCATAACTTCAGGTTGTAAAAAACAAGTAGGGATTGAGGCTGAGAAAGACAGGAGGCTGCTGGAGCCCCAGGCAGTTCCTCTTAAAGGACCCATGCATAGACTTACTCAGACTCACTCCCTCTGAGCTCCAGCAGTGGGACAGCAGCTTGAAAGAAACCAAGGACATATGGGGAGAATCTGAATTGTCTGGCATCAGAGCAAGAGCTGGGTGGGGCAGCTTTCTCCCAGACCAAAGTGCTATCAGAGGCCATTGCTCCTTTGCTGAACCCTCCTCAACACAGCGCCAACAGGCAGGCACCATATCTCAGTCTCCACCAACCTGGCTCACACTCTTTGTCCCACCTGGTGATTCCTTAAGACACTTCCCCACCCAACTTGTGGGCTCATCCAAGCTATTTCCAGTGGCTTTTTCATACAACTGGCCTCTCTCATGCTTTGGGCTTTCCTAAAATCTCTTAAACAAGCAGCAGCTGGCCTTAGTGTGCTCTGTACCTCTTGCTAAGTGGCCCCAGCCCCAGCACTAGCAGCAGCCTGCTTTGGTTCACAGTTTGTAATCTCCTTGGAACCTCCAAGCCCATCATAAGTAGCAGCCATTAGCAAATCATTCAGTAGCTCATGCCAGGTGGCTCCAGGCAGGGCACAGGCAGTGGCTGACTTTGCACCTCTCTGTGTGTACCTTGTGGACAGCTTCAAACCATGTCAGATTACAGCCCTACAACCTCCATGAACAACATATTCAAGGGGCAGCCTCAATGGGCACCAAAACCCCCTGAAGCAAGTCCTGCTCTGCAGGGACAACACCTACACAGGAGCTCTTCCACTGTAGTCACATCTGGTCCTCATAGCCAACTGGCCTGGGGATTAATCCTTCCCAGTGACACCAACAGCAATCAAGGTTCAACTACAGAAGGACAGTGCACATAGCCCATGCAGGGGCACACCTAAAGTTTCCAGCACAGGTAACTGGGGAGGCTGCACTACTAAGTCCTACAGGACACCTAATACACAAGGCCACTCTACCATGTCCAGGATACATAGCAGCTTTGCCAAATATATAGAATCAAACACAGAGAAGTAGACAAAATGCAGAGACAAAGAGTCATTTCCCAAATGAAAGAACAGGAGAAATCTCCAGAAAAAGAACTAAATGAAAAGGAAGCAAGCAAACTACCAGATACATAGTTCAAAACAATGGTTATAAGAATGCTCAAGGAACTTTGTGAAAACTTCAAGGAACATGCTAGTGAGAACTTCAACAGCATAAAAACAAAACAAAACAAAAAAGACCTAGGAACCATAAAAAAGAACCAGGACTCTGAGAATCAAATCAGAGATTTGGAATGTGAGGAAGCAAAATGCATCCAATCAGATCAGCAAAAAGAAAAAAGATTTTAAAAATATGAAGATAGTGTAAGAAGCCTCTAGGAGTGCCAGAAGTAGAAGAGAGGGAGCAAGAAATTGAAAACCTATTTAAAAAAACAATGACAGAAAATTTTTCTTACCTGATGGAAACAATAGACATAGAAGTCCAGGAAGTACAGAGAGTCCCAAACAAGATGAACCCAAAGAAGCCTACACCAAGATGCATCATAATTGAAATAACAAAGGGAAAGATAAAGAGAGAATCTTAGAAGCAGCAAAAGAAAAGCAATTAGTTACCTACAAGGGAGCTCCCTTAAGACTGTCAGCTGATTTCTCAACAGAAATTTTGCAGGCCAGATGGGAGTGGCAAGAAATATTCAAAGTGATGAAAAGCAAGGACCTACAACCAAGATTCTTTTGCCCCTGCAAAGCTATCACTTAGGATTAAAGGACAGATAAAGAATTTCCCAGACAAGAAAAAGCTAAAGGAGCTCATCACCACAAAACCAGTATTATATGAAATGTTAAAGGGTCTTCTTTAAGAAAAAAAAACAAAAAAATAAAAAATATGAACAATAAAATGGCAATAAATACATATCTATCAATAATTGAATATAAAAATCAAAATAAATGAACAAATAGAATAGAAACAGATTCATAGATATAGAAAATATTTTGAGAGTGCCATATGGGTGGAGGAATTTAGAAGTACAAATTAGTAGTTATAGTACAATCTTGGGGGTATAATCTATAATATTCCAATAACTAGATATGGTATCAGATGGGTATGAGATTTTTTGGGATGATCACTTAGTAAGTTTTATGTTTAGTCACTGAAGTGTACACCTGAAACTAATATAATACTATATGTCAAGTATAATTGAAAAGTTAAAAATGGCTTTTAAAAAAGAATATCTTGTTCACAGCTGTGTCCTCAGAAGCTTATGCAGTACAGGGCACACAATGGGCAATCCAGAAATACTAAACCAGTAAGTAATGAATGGTCTGAGGACTGGAAGAGATGAGTCAAACCTTTCCAGAGGTAGGACAGTAGAAAACTCTGAGGTCCCTGAGATGCTAAGTAAAACACAACAAAATAATCTCCATTGGCAGTTTGATTCCTTAAAAAGGAAAAACAAACAAAACAACACTAGTGATATCTGATATGCATCAAAAAATAAATGTACAAGAATGATCACAGCAGCATATTTCCTAAAATGCAAAAACTGGAAAACAAAATATCCATTGATAGAATGATAGGTAAATAAAGTGTAGTAAATTTGAACACCAGAACACTGTACAGCAAAGAAAAAGAACAAACTACTGTTACATGAGACAACACAGATGAATCTCAAAAAATATTGCAAAATAAAACCACCACTCCCACCTCCAGGTTGGACACTGAGAAGTGAAACCATAAATTGCTCCACAACTTACTGTTACATTATCACAATTTTATCATTCCATAGCCTTTGCAGGCCAGAATACTTTTGCTGAGGCAAACAACTTTATTTATTATAGAAACTTCCTGAAAGACCCATCATCTCTTCAATAGAGATCATCAACAGTTTACATCTCAAGAGTCTTTGAACCTCTCACCTCAAAAATCCTTGCCTTGATGTTTCTGCCAATGCTAACCGATATCATAATCCTCGCCAATCCTACTCAAGCTTTCACATTGAAAGACTTACCTTAAACCAGAATGAAAATCTCAAGCTCAGCTGTTCCTTTCTCCCTCCAACACACTACCAAAGCTCTCTCAAGGTGGCATCCTTCATGATGGCAATAAGCAGTACACTCAGCTTTCTCTTATGGAGAGATTGTTCTGGTGATATTTTAGGAGCCAGAATTCAACAACATAATGTTTTGTGAGAAAAACCAGACACAAAAGAGAACATGTTTCATGAATCAATTTATATAAAGCTCAAGAACAGGCAAAACAAATCTATGGTAATATAAATCAGAAACATATTTGCTTAGGCTGTGTGTAGTGATGGTGAGGTGCCCATTGCTTGAGAGAAGACAAGAGGTTTTTGGGTGCTAGAAATGTCATATATCTTGATCTAGATGAGGGTTACATGGGTATAAACATGTATAAAATTCACTGAATTGTACATTGCCGGAAGCCGGTCCATCCTTGCTGCTTGACACAGTCACTGAAGGGAAGAAACATCTTCACAGCATATGTTTCAAGGGACCTGGCGTATATGGCATACTGTTCTTAATATGTTTGCTCACCTTCTTGGCGCTATGTGTTTTAACCAAGGTCACCTCCCCGAGAAAGGTTGTTTCCCCAGGTAGGGATTTTTCCCTGAAGTTAGGGAGGGAATAAAACCCCTTAACTAAATGCCAGGTGGGTAGTTAATCACTTTAACTATGAAAAATCACCCTTAAGCTACATAATCTTTACTCCCTGGAATAGAGATAAGAAACGCCCTAACCTTTGGAATAGAAATTGACAGGATTAAAATCAACTGGTATAAATACAGATGTAACAAGACAATAAAACACAGAACTTGGCTAGAGATCCTGGCTAGAGATCCTGGCTAGGCTGCTGATCAACTGAACACTGTCTCCGTGTCATTCCTTCTTCGCCAACTCCGTCCACACCTTTGGAGACCCCTGGACCTGCTGGGGTTGGTCCCCAACATCTGGCGCCTGAACAGGGACACCTAGGTAAGCCCCCTCGCACTTGGGACGGATAGGACTGCACCGTAGGGTGCTGCAGACCCCCCTATATAGGATAAGTAGGGTAAGAGAGTGGATAGTACAAAACTTAGATTGACAAGATGGGTCATACTGAGTCTAAAGAAAAAAGACTCTGTATTGATCTTTTAACACATATGCTTGCTAGCAGAGGAGTTAAGGTTACTCCCAGTCAGACAGAAAGTTTTATACAAGAAGTATGTCCATGGCTTCCCGAGGAAGGAACTGTTAATTTAGAAACTTGGACTAAAGTAG